GCTGTGGCTTGGGCCTCAGGGTATAGCCAGACCTCCTTGCCCCAGGAGGCTGTGCTGTGCCCGGCTGTGTCAGGCCCTGCTGTGTCCTTGTGAAGGTGACAGTGACCTTGAGCATGGTGGCTGCATCTGCACAGGGAGTCTGTTGATGGATCCTTCTGGAAGTGTCTAGGTCTCCTGAGAACAATAAACTTTCTTCTGTGCACTGGGTACTTCCCTGTGTCTTCCTACACCGACATGCCTGTTGCTGCCTGTGGCCTAAAACCTACTGTACCACCACCCTCCCAGGCTCTACCCTCAGCATCAGCAGTTGGCCAGGGCAGCCTGAGCTGACAGCTTGACTTACCTGTGCCTCTGGCCCAGGCATGGGAGGGAATCCTTCTTTCCTAAGGCTTGTTACTGCCACCCTGATTTGAGTGGTGCAGTTTCTCTCTCCCCAAACACCTGCTCTGACACCTGCTGCTGCATAGGGACTCCTGGCCCTGACAGCATGAGGCACAGCCCTTGGAGCCCACACAGCTGCTTCTGCATTCGAGAGAGAGTGTGTGATTGTGTGTGTGTGTGTGTGTGTGTGTGTGTGTGTGTGTGTGTGTGTGTGTGTGTGTGTAATGGCAGGGATATCCTCTGGTGGGTTTTCACTGCTGCTGTCCCTCAGCATCCCCTTTGGAGAAGACTCCCTTCAGAGAACAGGATCTTTCCTGACATACACAAGGTGGCACTGGGAAGACATGAGCAATAAATGAGTTCCTGCAGGAAAGCCACCACATGCTAGCCCTCTCAGCAGCTGGTGCATGCCCATTGTATAGATGAGGAAACCGAGATACTGAAATTGGTGCTTGCACCAGAGTGCACACCCACCAGCTAGGTTGTCACTGCAGCCTGCATGGTGCCAGAGGAGCCCTCTTAACCTGTGGTCACTCTGCCCCTGAAGAGGTCCACAGCAATTGGCCCTCAGGGCACTGACCATTACCTGAGCTGTTAGATATTCAGATAAGAGTCTGGAAGCTGCTTGGCACAGTCCAGCTCAGTGTAGGAAGGCTTCCTGGAGGAGGTGACTGCTGGGCGGGGCTCAGGTTAGGAGTACAGGAGGTCAGGTGAAGGGGTCAGTGAAGGTTGCGTGTAGAAGGGCCAGTGCGGGATGCTGCTGACAGAGAAGCAGGGCGGTCCCAGGCTTCAGTGCAGAGGTTCTGCAGGAAGGAGTGGTCTGGGCTGAGGCAGGGGAAAGGAGTGGGGTTTCTGAAATGTCCGGGCACTGTCACGCATTCGGGAATGCCTTCTTGATTTTAAGTATGATATGAGCAGATTCAAACATGATGTTGGCGGTTGGGGCTGTGGGCCTAGTTACCCCCTGTAGCACCAGCATGCCAAATACAGTCAGGGTCCGGGAATAGCATTCTTTTCAAGAATCAAGAGCAAGTCACAGGACCAGCATACAGGCTCAGTTGGCTAATGCTCCAGTTGCAAGTGCTGGGATCTCAAGTGGGCACAAGCTCCTGTGGGGGCCACTCCACTGCTTGTCACTGGGGAAAGCACTGGAGGATGGCCCAAAGCCTTGGGACCTTGCACCCACGTGGGAGACCTGGAGGAACACCTGGCTCCTGGCTTCCATCTGCTCAGCTCCAGCTGTTACACCATGTGGGGAGTGAACCAGTGAACAAAAGAACCTTCTCAAAGTCTCCATATCTTTACAAATCTGCCTTTCCAATAAAATGAAAGAAATCTTACTTTGAGAACAAAGAGCAATGCCCAGTGGTGAGTTCATGGGTTTGTCCCTAGTTTGGTTTCCCCTAAGCCTCTCTCCCAACTCCATCATTGAACATTGTGGTCTCTGTGCACCTGGATAAGTCGCTTGGCTTTGAAATTGGAAGCGAGATGTCCCCCAAAGAACCCTATTCCTGCAGATCGAAACAGAATAGGTTTTGCTGAGAAAAACGCAGAGTAAAAGGATGTGGAAGCTACACAGTGGCCCGGTGCTGCTCATGGTGAAACACCCATTCTTTGGGACAGTCAACCTCACTTGGCCCTACGGGCATTTTGTGAGAAAGCCCACGTGTATGGCAGACAAGAGCAGGCCCTGCCTTGAAGTCCATGGTGCCTTCTCACTCTGCCCTTAGCCTAGACCCTGGCTGTGTGGGAGCCCGCTCCTGTGGCCACAAGACAGCAGGAAGTGGTGAAGGATACCAAGCAAGAAACTACACAGACAGCTTCAGGGTCCCGAGCACTCTGCCCTGAAGGGCCCAGCTCCCGTTGATAAGCTGAGGATGCAGGTTCTGAATCAGAGGCCCGGCTGGGGCACCAAGATTGCATGACACTTTTGAAAACACTATTTGTGTAATTGGAAGGCAGGGAAAGAGAGAGATCAAGGGAGAATTTCTCTCTGCTCCCTCTTTCCCACCTCTTAGCACAGCTGGGGCTGGGCCAGGCTGAAATTGGAACCCAGGAAATCAATCCGGGTGCCCCACATGGATGGCACAGGCCCAACTCCACAAGCCTTCACCTGCTGCCTCCCAGCATGCTCATCAGCACAAACAAGAATCCACAACATACCCAGGCACTCCAATGCTGCACCAGGACATCCCAGCTGGGGTGAGAAAGGAGGGAGAAAGTGGGACACTGAGTCCACATTTCTAACCAGCCCCCCAGGTGCTTGTGGTCCCCGGCCCACACTGCAAGCAGAGCAAGGACAAGGGCTCGATCGGTCATACACAGGGCATTTCTGCAACACCACACACTCCCACGTTCCATCTTAGCTCATTTTGCCAAGCTCACAAATATAATGGGGGCGAGGAGAGGGTCAAGGGCCCTGGACTCTGACTAGAAAATTTGGCAAGAGATTGCTGACTCAGGAGGTCAACTTCCCACAGCAACCCTGCATCCCAGGGACAGGTGGGGACACCCAGCCAAGCACCATCCCACGCTAGCTGGGTCACTAGTCCCTCTGCTCTCATTCGGCCCCACAGTCTATACCTTCTACCAGGCACACACCTAGGGCTGCCCGAGTCACAAGACACAAGCACACCAGTTCCTAGGAAGGGCAGCCATGGATCATCTCACTTCTGCCCAAGCCAGGACTCACTGGGGATAAAAATGGGCTTTGGTCTGTGTTCCCCTCTACTTCTCCGGGAGTCCATGTGAATCAAATTTCACTCTGAAGAGACTCAGAGCCAGAACAGACAGGGGCTCCCAAGTCAGGGAGAGTGAAACTGAACTCTCACTGGTTGCTGCCCTACTGACTAAGTACCCCACTGAGCGGGGCCAATCAGAATCAAGCAGAGCTGACAGCTGGAGTTGCAGCTCCACACTGTGCCACGACGTGTTGGCCAATGACAGATGACACAAAAGCAGGCCTGCCCGTGAGAGTATCATGAGGCTGAACCCCCTAGTCCCTTCACTTGCCACTTTTACATCCAGGGTTGCTCTCATGTACCTGTGCTCAGCAGGTGCAAGGACAAGACACAGCATTGCCACCAGGCAGAATCACACCACGCCCAGCTAGCGATGGAATGGGGAACCACTCCTGCACTTTCAGAACACACATGTCTGTGTTTGTGAACAGAGACGGAGCGTCAAGGCCAGAAGCAGTGCCATTTTGAAACACACCAACGAGGTAGTTGGGCCCTCTCACGGGAGCATTTCCTGTGCCTTTTGCACATTTTCCATCAGTTCTCCATGTTCCTCAGTGAGTCTTTCTTCAGTAGAAAGCACATTAACAGGACAGTCTCTTCCGTCTGTCTTTGGATGGAACAAACAGGTCCAGGGTTCTTCCCACCATCGGGTGGTTCCCTTGGACCCAGAAGCCCAGCTTACTGGAAACTTGTCCTGACTATTTCCAGTCAGAGAAGACTGTGTGGGTTGCCTTTGACAACATTTCCTCACCCAGGGGCAGAGTTCACAGTCAGGACAAATAAGAGCTGGCCCCCAGGCAAAGGCAGCACTCCCTGTAGGAGCCTCTCTCAGTGCTGTGGGCCCAGAGCAGGTGAGTCTCCCTGGGATTTGGGGGCTGTTGGGGTTCTAGGCTGTGACTCTGGGCTTATGTCCTGAGAGCGATGGCACAGGAATTGAGGAACCAGGTTCAGGGCCCAGAGCTGGTGGCAAGAGACAGTCCTGGGGCTGCCACTGAGTGTGCTACACCTTTCCAAAGACGTGGTCACATCAACCTGCTTATAAAGAAGCAGCTGGACCAGGAGCTGCCCTGTCCTGAGCGATGGTCCTCCTGGCCTCCAGGCAGAGGCAGCCCTGAAAACCACCAGCTCTCCTGCCATTTTCTTCTTTTTTCTATAGTGAGACTGACAACTCACTGTAATGTCGCGTATCAGGGTGAGGGCTTGCATAAGGAGGTGTCACAGCAGCCAAGGAACCAGTTGGGGGCTGTAAGAACTGTCTGCCAGCTGGATCAGGGACACTCAGCTGCCTTCTGGGTTTTCTGTGAAGAAACCAGACTGGCCCAGGGTACCTCCCTGGGATGGTCTGTCCAGCACCACATGACCAGTTGACTAGAGCTGGGAGAGGTACCACGGTGGGTTCAGTGCATCCACTTTCTCTTCGACCTAATTTAGCAAGGATAATGGGTGGTGTGGAGAAATGGAGAGACTTAAAGAAAGGGGCATCCCTGACCATGCGAGAGAGAGGAGGACATGACACTCAACCTCACAACTTTGGGACTTCAGAGCCAGTGGCAACCATCACTGCTATCCATGATTCCTTGTCGCGTAAGCAGCCTCAGCTTGAGCAAGCCTGGCCCTTTCTGTATGCACAGTTTCTGGATCAAGGAGAAATGGCCACAATCACAGCACAAGCACATCAAAGGGGCAGGGAAAACCAAATATAACCATGTCTCTCAGTTCCCCAGACAGGCATCTCGCCTAGGGAATTACGAAGTCACAAGGGGTGGGGGCCCATGCACTGGCCGGATGGTGGGGTGTGGGTGTGAGAAGAAGGCAGCAAGAGGCACACTGGCACCTCCTGCACTAGAAACATGAAGCTGTTTTGTTGCTTTGCAGAGTTCAGAGCAGACACAATGCCAGCCCTCCTGCTGCTGGGGCTCCTCGTGGCCACGCTCTGCCCAGCTGTCCTCTGCCACCCAGTGGCCACAGCTGTCCCTCAGGATGCCCGCCGGGAGGACACAGCTGATGCGACACGCCTGGTGGGGCTGGTCTCCAGCAATGCTGACTTTGCCTGCAGCCTCTACAAGCAGCTGGCCTTGCTGAACCAGGACAAGAACATCATCTTCTCCCCACTGAGCATCTCCACTGCCCTGGCCTTCCTGGCCCTGGGGGCCCGAGGCTCCACACTCACGGAGCTTCTCCAAGGCCTCAAGTTCAACCTCACTGAGATGCCTGAGAAGGAAATCCACCAGGGCTTCCGGCAGCTCCTGCTCACCCTGCGCCAGCCCCAAGAGCAGCTGCAGCTCAACCTGGGCAATGCGCTCTTTGTTGGCTTGAAGCTGCTTCCGGACTTCGAGAAGGGCGCCCAGGAGCTGTATGCTGCCGAGGCCTTTGACACCAACTTCCAGGACCTGGACGCTGCCAAGAAGCTCATCAATGACTACGTGGCTGAGAAAACCCAGGGCAAAATCGTGGACCTGTTTGACAGCCTTGACGATGATACTGTGATGGTCCTGGTGAATTTCCTCTTGTTCAAAGGTGAGTGCTCACCTCAGGATGCCCTCTTGCCATTAAGATTCTCAGGGCACGTTCTATTCCGTCTTCCACTGGCCAGCCGTGCCAGAAGGCAAAAGACTAAAGAGGAGCTGCCTGTGCTTAGGGTACAGGAACCGTCAACTGCATCATTGCACTGCCCTTCCGCCTTGGGAGGTGCCAGGGCATGTCTGATCAGATCAGGGTGCTCTGTTCTGAGAGGAGAGGCAGGAAATTCTCTCCTGGACCCCTCCAGGGCAGGCAGGAGCAGCCACCTCCTTCTGCTAACAGGGCAGTAGATGCAGGCCTACCACCCTTTCCCTCATTCACCTGGGCATCTCTGCCCAGCCTGGAATGCTGGTGTCTGCAGGGCATCCAGGCAGGGCGGGGTTTGTCACAGCTCAGACAGCCCACAAGAAGTCTGCCAGCAAAACTTACTCCCAATTAAGGGACACAGAGCACAAAGATGGCTAGGCAGGGCTTCCAGGTGCCCCCTGCAGGCAGATTCTGTTACTGCTTCCTGAGTCCAAGAAAGCATCCCAATGCCCAGTGCCTTGAATGGGAGACAGGGTCTGGGCACCTCAGCTACAGGATCTGTGGCAGGTCTCAGCTGGTTATTCACAGTCCCTGGAAGTGCATGTACCTCGAGCAGGAGTTGAAATCCTTCAGCTGGCATTTCTTACACCCTTGCTTGGGCACACCCAGTGTCCCACCTGCTAAGATGCTCTGCGTGCCCATGAGCTTCATTCCTCATGGTCACTCCGACTCTGAGTTTTGCCTTCCATGAGCCTCTGCCGCTGCATGTTCTCTGTCTCGCCCTTCCCCCATGGAGAGCTTAGCTTCTTTGCTCTGTTTGCACTGAGTAGCCCAACAGGCCTCTTTCTGATGGCACCACTCTGGCAATGCCATTGATGCAAGACACTGTTTTCTATAAGCGGCCTGAAATATTCACCCCTTCTTTCCTGCTCCTCTCACTCACCTCTGCCCATCCCCATCTCTCTTCTGTCCCTTCTGTCGCATCTATCCCAGATGCCTATTGATTCCTCATATAACCCAGTGCCCTCGTTCGTATTCCATGCCACTTAACAACCATGGCCTGCATGGCTCTCCCTCACACCCACAACGTTTCTCCTAATCCAGGTACAAAGTCCCACTGGCTCTGAGTTAGTGGATGCTGTCACCATTCAGGGATGCGGGCAGAGGTGAGCCTGGCACTCACCTGACCTATCACTGCTTGCTCCACTTTAGCTCACTGGAAAGAGCCCTTCAACACCAGGGCCACAAGCCGGAACAGGTTCTACTTAAAGAAGGACAAGTGGGTGGATGTGCCCATGATGTTCAAAAACAACTTGAACACACCCTACTTCCGGGATGACGAGCTGTCCTGCACTGTGGTGCAGCTCAACTACGTGGGCAACGCCAGCGCCTTCTTCATCCTCCCAGATGAGGACAAAATGCAGGAGGTGGAAGCCAGCCTGTCGCTGGAGACCCTGAGGCGCTGGAGAGACTCGGTGAAGACCACGTGAGTGCCCTCAGGAGGCAGAGCTCTCCTTTTCAGCTCCCTCCCAGCCCCTTGGCGCCTTCTCCCCAGGGTCTCGGTGGTGACCTGGACGTTGGGACACAGAGGCAGGAGAGTGGAGTTCCTTTGCAGTAGCTTTGGATAAAGGTGTGGACATTTGGCATGGACACAGAATCCCACATCCTCCAACAACGTGCCTGGCTTCCTGTCCAGCTCTGCTTCCAGTCCAGCCTCCTGCTAACTCACAATCCCAAAGGCACAGGTGATGCCTCAAGACACAACATCGCTGCCACCCACAAGGGAGAGCTGTTTGAACTCTAAGCTCCTGACTTGAGCCTGACCCGACACGGGCCATTGCTGACATTTGTGGAGTGAAGCAGTGGATACAAGAGCTGACTCCAATTATCACTTGATTCCCTTTCACTGTCTGTCTTCCCAAGAAATAGTGTTGTTTTCAAGAGTGGATGGTGTCAGACAGCGCAGGGACCTGAGGCCTTCTCTGGCTCCAGTGTGCTCTGAGTCATGAGGAACCTTGAACACAACACTCAGCTCTCTGGATGATTGAGCTCGGCTGAGGGAGACAGGAGGACGTGCTGCACCAAGGGGGAGGAGAGACAGGCTCTGGAGCCAGCTCTGTACCAGCCACCCACTGCACTCATTCATTCTTTCATTCATTCAGCATCTGTTGAGTGACTAATGAGCACCTACTAGGTGCTTGACACTAATTGAGATCCTGAGGACAGCTCAGCCAATGAGACACAATGTTCTCTGCCCTGCGAGCTGGGGAGAGACAAACAACACACACGCCCTAGCCCTGGCCCCGTGCCCGTGTGGACACTCACAGATGAGAACAGATGATGGATGTGTTAGGGTAGTAGTTGGGACCTGAGGGAGTAAAGCCATGGGGGAAAGGTGAGAGGTGTGGGCTGTGGGACTGGGAACACCCACATGGCCAGCTGGGGACAGGCAGGTCCTTTACCAAGCTGCACTCCAGTGTTGGCCCTTCTTTCTCAGATGGATCACTCAACTCCGCCTGCCCAAGTTCAGCATCTCCGGTGAGTTCAACCTGAAAGACGTGCTTCCCCACCTGGGCATCAGGGAAGTCTTCACCAATCTGGCCAATTTTTCTGGAATCACAGAGGAGAAGAACATCAAGATCTCAAAGGTGAGGTTGCAAAACTGGGGACAGGCACAGCCTCCTCTGACTTTCACTGCTAAAGCAGACACATGTTCAGGAAGCCCTAGGTTTACACCGATATCTAATGCTGCGTGTAACCCCGCCAGCCGCTCTGGGACCCCCACCAACTCAGGAGAGTTCTTTTGGTCCAGTGTCCCATCTGGGACATAAAGTGCCATAGGATGATACAAGAGCTACCAGCAGGGGGCGTGGAAGTGATGTGCTGAGCATTAGACATCTGCAGCCAGCATCTCACACTCCACTGTTGACTGTCCAGAGCAAGCAAGATAAAGGCCTCCCACTCAGGCTTCCCACCTGTAAAATGGGGGTGTGGGACAGTTAGTCCTTGACTCCAATGTGGTGCCTGGCCAAGCCAAAAGTGTTGACAGGTAATCACGACAGCTTTAGGTCTGGACTCAGACACAGCCCTGTTCGGGTCCCACATTTGGTGACTTTCATGACACTGAGACATCACTGTCAGCTCTCCCTGAAGGCTTGCCCTTCTTTGCGTGGAACTCTGCCAAAGCTGCATGAGGGGCTGGGAGGAGCAGGCCAGTGGATGACACCAGGTGTTGGGCCCCGGCATGGAGCTTTGCTGCAGCTCCATCCCTGGTGAATCACACTCTCTTGTCCCCTACAGGCAGTCCACAAGGCTGTGCTTGATGTGGCGGAGACGGGCACGGAAGCAGCTGCTGCCACTACATATGGGTCTATAGCAGGGTATGCATTTTTTGGCCCCCGGACCATTGTGCATTTTGACCGGCCCTTTCTCATAGCCATCGTTTCTACTGACCCACCAAGTATCCTCTTTCTGAGCAAAGTCACCAACCCCTTGCAAGCCTAGAGCTCCCTGCTGGATGGCAGGAAGCACAGCCATGGCTTGAGCTCCTGGGTCCAGCCAGACCTCTGTGTCCCAGGATGCTGTGCCAGGCCTGGCTGTTACTGCTCTGTGTCCTTGTGAAGGTGACAGTGGTTTCTATTGGGGTAGCTGCACATGCTCAAGGAGCCCATGGGTAGTCCTTCCAGAAGTTTTGTGATCATCTAAGAGCAATAAAGCCTTTGGTGGACTGGACAATTCCCTTTGCATTGTAACACTAAAATTCACAATGTCTAATAACCCTCCCAGGCTCTGCCCTCAGTGTCAGTGGCCTTGCCAGGGCTGCCTGCACTGATGCCCAGTTAACCTGGGTCTCAGCCCTGGGGCTGGGAGGGAATCCTCTGTTCTAAGTCTTGTTGTCTCACTGATTCTAATTGCACTCTCCCCCTTCCTCACCTGCACTGACACTGCTACTGCACGGGGCCTCCTGGTCCTGAACAGCTGTGCCACAGCCCCTGGAGCGCATGCTACTATCGTTGTCAGAGTTTGTTTGTGGGGATGTGTTTTGGGGGTCCACCAGCTGGTACCCCGTAGTGTCCCCTGTGGGAAAGTCTTCTTTCTGACCAAGATCTTTTCCCAGCAGACAGAATGCAGGGATGTAAGATTCAAGCAATATGTGAGTTAGTGCGGTAAAAGCAAGTAGGCGATCCTGCCCCCAGCAGCTCATGCATTGTAGAGCTGAAGAAACCAGTGAACTTGGCCCTTTTCCCAGGCTGCACACCCAACAGCTGGTGGTCACCGTAGCCTGCATGGTGTATTCTCGAATCATCCCTGCATTCTCTCTGCTGGGAAAGATCTTGCCGCACTCTGCTGCTGACACCATGGCCCACAGCCCCCACTACAAACCCAGTAGCTCAGGGCTAAGTCAGGCTGGTGACTAACCCCATTCTAGGGGAGACCCCAGCCTGCCATCTTCCTGCTCAGGGCACAGCGGTGGGCACCTGTCAATCTCCCCTGCATTCCTTATGGAGCTGTGATTGGCAGCTCAGAGAGGGGAAGGCATGGCCGAGGTGGCTGAGGTATGCCCTCCCCGTGACCGCTGTCTCTTGCCGCTGGCATCCTCCCCCTTCCCACATGCTCCCTTCTGCCTGGACTCCTCCTGCTTTGCCATTTGAACCCAATAGCAATGTACCATGTCAAGAGTGATCCGTAGACCCGGGGCAGGAAGGGAAACTCTCCCTGGGACTCAGCCTTTGTGAATCCTGGGCCCTTGTTCACACGGACTCCAGGGGCCAGAGCCCCTCTCCACCTGTCTCCACAGCTCTGGCCCCCACACCGGCCCCAGTGGTTGAAGCCAACTCCTACCTCCACGTGTCTCCACCCTTTGTCCCCCCAGACTTCCTGGCACTAGGAGGAAAACCCCAGGAGAACTTGCTCCCTGCCTCTCCAAGCCAGGTACACCTGCCATTCACCATGTGCTGCCCACCTGGGGCCACAAGTCAGAGGAACAGACTCGCGCAGAGTGGAAAGAGGGAGGGTGGTGACAGGTGGGGACAACACTCCTTCACAGCGGAGATTACAATCCACTCTAATGACACAGAGGTTCACCTTAAAAAAAAAAAAAAGGCGACTTCATCTTTGTAGGATGTTGAGGAGCAGGACAATCGTCCTATTTAAGAAACAAGAATGATGTGCTTGAAGCCAGACGGGCTGGCTAACCCTGGGCTGGGGGCTCAGGTCCAGAGGCTCAGGCCATCAACCCGCCATGTGCTCTGAGCCAGATGAATCAGCTTGTCCCTGTACATGATCCTGTGCAGGTCTCAAGTCTGGAGCTTTGTGTCCATTGGCCTGCAAAGTATTCAGAGCTGGAAGGGCAGCTATCCCTGATGCTGGGGGCTCAGGTCCGGAGGCTCAGGCCTATCAGCCCACCACATGGTTGGAACCAGGTGGGTCGGCTTTCTTGGGCAGTGGTATACTAGACTGCGGGGCTCAGTTCAGGCCTGGGCCCTGCCCTTCAGCCATCTGGAAACTTTAAGGGTCTGGCCTAAGCACCAGCCCATGTGGGAGACCAGAGCTGTGATGTTAGGACTGACCAATGCCCAGTACCATTCACTGCTGCACACTAAAGTTAGGGCTGGGGGTCTACCTCACGGTTAAATCACAGTACGTGCCAGTGAGTCAGAACGGAGGATGCGAACAGGAGCTGGGCCATGGCACTAACGTGCAAGAGAACTGGGTCTGGGGGCAGAGTATGTGAGGGATGTGTGAGCTCTGCACCTCCACCCCCAGCGATAGCCAGCACTTCTGCACACACCTCTCCTGCCTGGAGTGCTGACCTCAGCAAGTTCCTGCTCAACAGGAAACCACAGCGCACACACATACACACACACAGCTGAGCCTGCACACCTGGGAGGAGTGGGGGGTAGGATAAGACACGGAGCAGCAGCCCCTGGAAACAAGGACTGTGACAATTCCAGAGGCCCCCACACTTGTCTAAATGTCTCTTAAAACAGAGGGGAAAGCCATGAACATGACCCTGCCTGGGCTACACTCACCATCGGCCAGTGCACACCCCCACGCTGGGGCGTCCTTACCCAAAGTGCTCCTTGGGACCAGAATATTTATGATTTCAGTTTTTAAACTTTTATTTATTTGAAAAGCAGAGGTACAGAGAAAGAGAATGAGAGGGGGTGGTGGGATTCCACTGTTTTTGTAAATGTATTGGCAGGGAGCTGAATCTGGAGTATCTGGGACCGGATGAATCAACGCCCACGTGGGATACTGGCACTGCATGCCGAGGCTTACCCTGTATGCCACTGTGCTGTCCCTTGTCTCAGGGGTTTCTTGGATGCTACAGGATTTGCATAAACAAGTGACACGCTGGGATGAAGGCCAAATTCAAACAAGAGTCACGCGGCTCTGTGCAGTGTGCAGAGTGCAGAGCGAGAAGGTCATGTGCAAACATTTGGATACGTTTGTGTATTCACAAGTCGCAGATTTAGGGGCTGGGGTGGACTTTTGGTGAAGCTGCCCCTTGAGGTGCCCACTCCCACACAGGGGAGCTTGGGTCCGAGTCCCGGCTCTGCTCTCCACTCCAGCTCCCTGCTCAGGAGCACCCTGGCGGCCCCAGGCAACAGCTCAAGTACCCAGGTCCCTGCCTCCCCCGGAGCAGACCTGGGTGGAGCTCCAGGCTCCTGGCTCTCATCTGGCCCAACCCTGGGCTGTTACAGGCATTTGAGGAGTGAACCAGCAGATGGAAGAAATCTCTCAGGCCTGGCATGATTCCTCAATGGTTGAACCCTCACCTTGCATCGGCCGGAATCCTGTGTGGGCACCAGTTCACGTCCTGCAGGCTCCACTGCCCATCCAGCTCTCTGCTAATGGTCTGGAAAAGCAGTCAAGGATTGCCCCAAGCCTTGGGACCCTGCACCCACGTGGGAGACCTGAAAGAAGCTCCTAGCTTTAGATGAGCTCAGTTCCAGCCGTCGTGGCCACTTGGAGAGTGAACCAGCACAGCGGAAAGATCTTTCTCTCTGTTTCTCCTTCTTTCTGTAAATCTGCCTTCCCAATAAAAATAAACAATATATCTTAAAAGAAAACAATCTCTCTCACCTCCCCCTTTCAAGCAGAAATAAATCATTTCCTTTTGAGCTTCAGGTTTGGGATTTGCGATTTGGGGGTATCGTCCCTGAACCCCACGGGCCCCTGCCACCACCCGAGGTTTGTATTTGATACGGAATCACCTGCGTCTTGCAGCTCTCACTCTGTGCAAGCCGGGCAGCGGAGAGGCCCCCAGAGCCGCTGCCTGTCGGCACTGCGCTTCCCCAGGGATGTCCTGGGCTCTGCTTCCGCCTGCGAGTCCTTTCCGGGTGAGCACCGCAACTAATAAAGCTGCAGTCCATGGATTCTCACAATAGACGCAGCAGAAAATACACAGCTTGTTGCTTTAACCCTGTTCTTGCACACAGGTTCTCACCAGCGTCACTATGCTGTTTCCAGTCTAGACAGCACTCGCTGGGCTGATTTTTCTGGCCTGCAGATGAGGAAGCTGACGCCCACGGGGAGTGGGGAGCGCGTTCACTTAGCACACTTCATAGCCTGAGGTTTCCCCAGCTTCAGGAATCCCAGGGTTGCAAACCTCAACAGCCAGGTTAGGGAGCTGGAAGTCCGGTTAAAGCGGAGAGGCGGCTGCGACTGCGCCCGTCGCCACTGGGTGGCACCAGAGCAGCGTCCGGGGCCCGACCTGCCGTGGTGGTTTCCGGAGCTGCGGGGGAGCCCCTGGCTCCAAGACCCCAGAGAAGAGGGCTCCGATTGCCGAGCCTCGGGCCCCCGAGGTCACCTCAGCTGCCGTGCGCCACCAGGACACGGATCCCGGGGCCGGAGCACCAGAAGACACCCTGAGACCCTTCCAGAGACTTCTGCCTTCTAGCTGCAGGTGCACTGCCTAGCAAGCGGGCACCCAGTGGGCAGCACCACTCAGAGGGCCCTGGGCCAGCCCGAGGCCACGCAACCATTAAGGATCCCCTGGAGGCTGAAGCCCATGGCTCACCTACACATAACTGCCTGGCCTGTCTTGTTCTCAGAGGAACTGGGGTCCCCTACCACGAGCCAAGGTGAACTTGACCCACTGTGCCCTTAAGCAGGGCTATGTTTTGGGTCAGAAGACGCTGAAGCGCCTGACCCGGAAGAGTAGGTGGGCATCCTCCCCTCCGCGCTCCTGCTCCTCGGAGTGAAGATGACAGTGGAATGGCAATAGGGTAGCAGAGCGAGACTGTGGAACGCTGCTAGCTGAGAGTCTGCAAGGTTTCCGTGTGGAACAGACAAGGCCTCAATAGAAGAGGCGTAGCTTCCCCCACCCCAGGACCCCTCAGAGTTAAGTTCATGGCAATGCCAAAGAGCAGGTGGGTGGGAGTGGGGACAGTGAGGCTGGAGTCAAGAACGGGGCGAGGCATTGAACCCAGGCGCTCCCATACGGGATGAGGTGTGTGAACCACCAGGGCAGACACCCGGCCCGACCCACGCCGAGGAGCAGCACAACGTGGTCAAAGGTGGAGGGAGAGATGGAGAGAAGGGGGAGGGAGGGCAGGTGTTCACCGAGTGCCAGCTCTGCACAGGCACTACCCTGAGCACGTTTGGGGTCTCATTCCGTGAGTCCCCAGGCAACCCTGTCCTCCAGAGATGTTCTCAGCTCTGCTTTACCCCTGGGGACACGGCTTGTCCAAAGCTGCGCTCCAATCTGCCTCGGG